AAAAGATAGGGAGGTGAATGTAATTTCTAACTTTGTCTTTTTGATGATGAAGTTTGAAGTTGATCATTTAGTTTTGTAAAAACTAAGAGAACACATTTAAKTTTTAAAATTTATAAGAGAAAAATCCTAAAATTTCATAAATTTGAATGGGTGAGCTTGGTTCGAGTTTGATTCGAGTTTGGTTCGAGTTTGATTCGAGTTTGATTTGAGTTCGAGCTTGAGAAATAGTTATCGAGTTCAAGTCGAGCTTGATTCGAGTTTGATTCGAGTTTGATTCGAGTTCGAGCTTGAGAAATAGTTATCGAGTTCGAGTCGAGCTTGATTCGAGTTTGATTCGAGTTCGAGCTTGAGAAATAGTTATCGAGTTCGAGTCGAGCTTTGATTTTTACTACTCGCGAGTTTTCGAGTCGAGTTCGAGCTTGGAAATTCGGTTTCGAGTTCGAGTCGAGCTTTGATTTTTACTACTCGCGAGTTTTCGAGTCGAGTTCGAGCTTGGAAATTCGGTTTCGAGTTCGAGTCGAGTATAATGATATTCGAGCTCGACTCGCATCATTTACACCCCTAGTCGAGAGTCTTACCTGAAAAGTGAGTGTGACAACTCTTATTTGATTAGTGCTCACTAGATAGATTGTTGCATACAATGCCGTTTTCATGAACTACAACTTTATTCAGTCAAGTAAATGAGTGTTGATTATGTGTGTGTGTGTGTGTGTATATATATATATATATAATGAATAAAACTTAAACACTGAAATCAAGATGTGTCTTGATGCATTGCACGAGTACCCTTCTAGTATATATATATCGTGCAATGCATCGAGACACATCTTGATTTGATTATTTAATTTTATTCATTTTTTATGTCGATATAATACGGTTTTATGTGATTTTGATAAAGAAATAATGTTTTTATTTTTGAATAAAATATAAATTTAAAAATATCATTTTGAAAAAAAAATATCGATATTAGTATCAAATTAATTTTTTTAAAAGTTATTGTGTTTTGATGTAATTTCCTTAATTCAAATTTTCTAATTATAATTTAATTTAGGWTTARTAACAAAGAAATTTAATTTAGGTTTAATGATATAATTTTTTATAAAGATAATAGCTAAGTATTATGTTAGTTATTAATGATTATCCTAATTATATTTTAGATTTTTTATATTTAAAATATGATATTTATCCAATATTTGATTATGTTTATCACCAGTTAGTTACACGAATTCAAATATTAAGCTTTAATAAGTTGTACTTATGCACAATCTACTTGTAATATTAAATTTTAAATAATATGCATCAATAAACAATATTTCGTGCATAAAAATAGTTTTTAAAAGTTTTTGTCAAATGTTTTGTAATATAGTATAGATATATAACTAAAATAAACCTTTCAAATCTTTATAAATACACACGATTTCTCTTCATAAAAACATCAGTTTTAATTACAGACAATGATAAATATGGTGAGTGTCGCATGTTTTATTGATATATGCTACGACCTACAAAATAAGGCAATATCCCTTTAAGAAGGGTGTTAAAATTCAAATGCAAATTGGAACCATAAAAATGATTAGAATTTATCTGATTTTGGTTTTTATGAAAATTACAGATCGTGCTTTTTTGTGCAAATGAAATTGAACCACGTGTATGGGTGTTTGTGTGTGTTCGTTTATATATATATATATATATATATATATATATATATATATATATAGGGTATATTTCTTTTACAACCTTGTGCATTTRTACAWCYTTTGCAACCCAATTAATTGAGATATTTATAGAAATGATTGAAGTTCATTTATTATGATTTGAATATTTATGGAATATGAATAGAGTTTATTAATTATGATTAAT